TGCAGGTTCTGCACATGGCACCACATCGCCGCACACCCCATTGCCATTTATTTTCCGAGAAGGCCAAGAGCATGGGCTGGCTCTGTCTTACATGAATACACAACTCAGAAAAGTTCAGTTTAAATCAGCAAAAATTAAGAGTTCCAACAAGGTGTGACAATGAGACTGCAAAACCCTTAGTAGGTAATACACAGCAGAGAAATGAGAGTTGTGTAGGTATGTTGTCCTGGTTTGAGCCACAGAGGATTAATTTCTCTTTGAGTAATTTTTACTTGACAATAAAGTCTCTTCTAATGCTTGTGAAAATGGCACTTTTAGAAGACCCTAGTGTCTGAATTTGTGAAAATATTTATAGCCAGCTATGGTATGTGGGTGACAACGTCTCAGTGTGCCAGATGCAGGGATGAGGAGGAATGAGACCTGGGCATTGACCCAAACTGGCCAACAGGATTATTTCATACCATGAATATTCAATATAAGTTAGAAAGTTTACTGAAGAGTTTCTCTCTTACATTATGGCTGTGATCCCGAGAACTCCTCTTCCAGGTGCCTGAGGCCTTCCCTTCCTCCCGAAGCCGCAGCACTGGCAATGTCCGCCATTTGCTGTCCCCTGCTGGGAGTGCACAGCTTCCTGCTGAGAGAATGGGCCTAGTATAACCCTTGTGTATTTGATATTGGTATTAGGATCAATACTGTTTCTTTAGTATTATTAACGCTAATTATTTAGTCTTCTCCTATTCAATCTATTTATATTTCAACACTCGTATTTCCTTGGCTTTCCGCGATTCCTCTTCCGGGGTGGGGAGGGGTCATCAAGTGAGAGAATTGTCTAAACGACAATAAGTTATGAGTTCCTCAAACCGTAACACCCATCTTCACACAGTGCTGTTGCTGATTTTCCAGTTGGAAGCTAGCTTCCATTGACACCACTGTCCCCCTCACACAGGAAAAAGCAGGCAGACTGAGGGCAAAACCTGGTTAAACGCAAATACCTGTAAAGATTGCAGCAGCCCCACACACAGGGCATTTCGGCACAGCCACTGCGAAGAGTCACTGACTTCAGGAGGTTACTGTTTACCTTGCAAAATCCTTCTTTATTAAACTGCTGCTTGATTTGGAGGCACATTCCAGATACAAGATTTTGTCTGAGGATACTCTTCTCACTGGAAAACCTCTGCATCTCAGCGCAGTTGCTCCAGCATCAGAGACAGCTAAGCGACGGGCAGCAGGAGTCCCTGTTGCTGTCTGGCAGCCATTCCTTTCTCCCCGTGGCGGTCAGCGAGGGGCAGGCCTGGACAAAATAACTGCTCCCGGCCCTCCTGCCCTCCCCGTCGGCCCCGGGTTGTCACCTCCCCGGCGGAACCGGCTGCCGACGCTGAGGGTGGAGCCGGGGAGGGTGGAGCCGGGGAGGGTCACAGGAAGCCATTTTGTGCCCTGTTCCTCGAACGACGGCCACCCCTTACCTCTGGCTCCTCAAGCGACGCTGCCTCTCCCCAGAAAAATTCAAAGGTGGATTTTCAGAGCGAGCCCAGGTCTGTGTCAGAGGAAACAGTTCCTTGAGGTAAAAGGCCACAGGTCACTGTCTAAGGCAGATTTCCAGAGTAAGGCCAGCCTGGCCTTTGCCATAGGTCAAAAGATGCTTGAGGTCAAAGTTACCTATCCAGAGAAGCCTTCCCTCAGAGAAGCCTTCCCGCAGAGAAGCCTCCCCTGAGAGAAGCCTTCCCTCAGAGAAGCCTTCCCGCAGAGAAGCCTCCCCTGAGAGAAGCCTTCCCTCAGAGAAGCCTTCCCGCAGAGAAGCCTCCCCTGAGAGAAGCCTTCCCTCAGAGAAGCCTTCCCGCAGAGAAGCCTCCCCTGAGAGAAGCCTTCCCTCAGAGAAGCCTTCCCGCAGAGAAGCCTCCCCTGAGAGAAGCCTTCCCTCAGAGAAGCCTTCCCGCAGAGAAGCCTCCCCTGAGAGAAGCCTTCCCTCAGAGAAGCCTTCCCGCAGAGAAGCCTCCCCTGAGAGAAGCCTTCCCTCAGAGAAGCCTTCCCGCAGAGAAGCCTCCCCTGAGAGAAGCCTTCCCTCAGAGAAGCCTTCCCGCAGAGAAGCCTCCCCTGAGAGAAGCCTTCCCTCAGAGAAGCCTTCCCGCAGAGAAGCCTCCCCTGAGAGAAGCCTTCCCTCAGAGAAGCCTTCCCGCAGAGAAGCCTCCCCTGAGAGAAGCCTTCCCTCAGAGAAGCCTTCCCGCAGAGAAGCCTCCCCTGAGAGAAGCCTTCCCTCAGAGAAGCCTTCCCGCAGAGAAGCCTCCCCTGAGAGAAGCCTTCCCTCAGAGAAGCCTTCCCGCAGAGAAGCCTCCCCTGAGAGAAGCCTTCCCTCAGAGAAGCCTTCCCGCAGAGAAGCCTCCCCTGAGAGAAGCCTTCCCTCAGAGAAGCCTTCCCGCAGAGAAGCCTCCCCTGAGAGAAGCCTTCCCTCAGAGAAGCCTTCCCGCAGAGAAGCCTCCCCTGAGAGAAGCCTTCCCTCAGAGAAGCCTTCCCGCAGAGAAGCCTCCCCTGAGAGAAGCCTTCCCTCAGAGAAGCCTTCCCGCAGAGAAGCCTCCCCTGAGAGAAGCCTTCCCTCAGAGAAGCCTTCCCGCAGAGAAGCCTCCCCTGAGAGAAGCCTTCCCTCAGAGAAGCCTTCCCGCAGAGAAGCCTCCCCTGAGAGAAGCCTTCCCTCAGAGAAGCCTTCCCGCAGAGAAGCCTCCCCTGAGAGAAGCCTTCCCTCAGAGAAGCCTTCCCGCAGAGAAGCCTCCCCTGAGAGAAGCCTTCCCTCAGAGAAGCCTTCCCGCAGAGAAGCCTCCCCTGAGAGAAGCCTTCCCTCAGAGAAGCCTTCCCGCAGAGAAGCCTCCCCTGAGAGAAGCCTTCCCTCAGAGAAGCCTTCCCGCAGAGAAGCCTCCCCTGAGAGAAGCCTTCCCTCAGAGAAGCCTTCCCGCAGAGAAGCCTCCCCTGAGAGAAGCCTTCCCTCAGAGAAGCCTTCCCGCAGAGAAGCCTCCCCTGAGAGAAGCCTTCCCTCAGAGAAGCCTTCCCGCAGAGAAGCCTCCCCTGAGAGAAGCCTTCCCTCAGAGAAGCCTTCCCGCAGAGAAGCCTCCCCTGAGAGAAGCCTTCCCTCAGAGAAGCCTTCCCGCAGAGAAGCCTCCCCTGAGAGAAGCCTTCCCTCAGAGAAGCCTTCCCCTAAAGCCTCTAAAAAAACTACAAAAAAATAAAAACCTTTAAGAATCCAAATAAATATATTTAAAATATAACTTCCACAAGTCAAACTAAAATTTAAAAAGCTAACAGGTAGCTAACGCCAGTCAAATGTAATAGCAGCCATAATTCCTCACAACAACCAATACAAAATATCCCATTTGAGTGTTGTTCTGCTGTCATAGCTCATCTTTTCAGAAGTTAACTTTAAAAATAGTTTTTTTAACCTAAACACAGTGAAGTCTTGACAATTCTGGTAGCTTCACCCTACAGCACACAAACACAACGCACTGCCACGCAGCTTCATCTATTTTGACCTTCTGTCAGGATAAATACCTGCCAGAAAACACGTGCCGAGATGCAAGTCACTTCAGAACCAAACACAATTTAGTAACAAACAACTACATCTCTCAGCTAACACCAAGAAAAATTTTCTTTTCTCTTCCCAAAGATTTTTTTTGCCGCTTTCAGCTACCTGGCAAGGAGTAACGACGTTACAGAACGTCAGGGCCCAAATACCGCTTCAGGGCAGTTTGAGATAGCAATGGCACACGTCCGGTGTAATTCAGACTAGAGCCCACAGAACAGCCCTAAAAGCACCCAAAATAATCCTACATCCTGTTCAGGAGGATAGTGAAAGAACCATCATTAGCCTGCAATATTAAATTAGTGGTCAGATAGGAAGACTTTTTTTCAAAAAAGGGCTACAAAGATGCTTAGGGGCCTAGAACACCTCTCTTACGAGGAGAGGCCGGGGGACTTGGGGCTTTTTAGTCTGGAGACTGAGGCTGAGGGGGGATCTGATCAACACCTATAAATACTTCAAGGGTGGGTGTCAGGAGGATGGGGCTGGTCTTTTTTCAGTGGTGTCCATGGACAGAACAAGATGACACGGACACAACACTGTTAATAAGAAGTTCCACCTAAACACGAGGAGGAACTTCTTTCCTGTGAGGGTGGCAGAGCCCTGGCAGAGGCTGCCCAGGGAGGTGGTGGAGTCTCCTTCTCTGGAGACATTCAAACCCACCTGGACACGTTCCTGTGCAACCTGCTCTGGGTGGACCTGCTCTGGCAGGGGGTTGGACTAGATGATCTCCAGAGGGCCCTTCCAACCCCATAGCATTCTGTGATTCATATGGGCTGAAACCACATTAAAAAAAAAAAAAACCAAACCTGAGGAAACATCTTGTAGCCCTGCAGTAGTCTGGTATTTCAGTGATGAATTGTAATTAGTTTGCTTCATAAGACTTGCTATTCTCGTTAATTGCATTGAAAGCTTTTATGGAAGACATAATAAATGCCTGACTTCAAAGTCTCTGAGAGGACATGACTGTAAACGCTTGTCTCCACACAGCAATTGCAATAAGCATGGTGTTATACAGCCTTTTTCTGGGGAAAGAAAAAAAAAAATTCAATAAAATCAACTTCTCAGGGAGCGATTTATCTGCTGGGAAAAGTTAAGCCTTTAATCACTTCGCCTCCCAAACCCACACTGCTGCGAGTCACACCAACCCCATTTGAATGTGAGGGCATGAAGAGAAACTTTGATTCAGAGTTTGTTAAAGCAGAAGGACCTCACCATTTCCTCCTCATATATTTGGAAGGAAATAAACTCCCTCAGCTTTAGAAATGAACCCAGCTACAAGGATGTAGACAGAGGGGTTACTACCAAGCTGTACACACTCAGCAGCCGATGCGCTGAGTGCCTTCAACACGGCACAAACTTATCTGGGGGCCCACAACTTATTTCCATCCTTTCCCAAACAACACTCAAGAGAAAAAGCCATGAAATCAGGTTCTCTAACTGATTTTTTTTTTTTTTTTAATAAACTAGAGAAGAACAAGATAACATTTCAACCAAAGTCATGACAGTCGCATGCTTAAAAGCAGATACATACACATCTCTGGATTTTTCTGTTCTCTTCAGAAAAAAAAAATAAAAAGAGAGAAAAATGGTCATGAGAAAGCTCAACATAATGCATAGAATTCTATACATATTCAAATAATAGCAGACTAAAGCAAGCAGTAACACAACTGGAAAAAAAATATGTTTTAACCATGATTCCAGATCTACCAAGTCTTAAAAGGAAATTTCAGTTCTAGGAATCTTTACCTTGAACCAAGTTACATTTTTATACAGCATTGAAGGAAGTTTTATAAATCGAGGCACTAGAAACAAACTTACTTACACAATAACTCAAATGCATCTAATGTGCAAACTGAGAAAAAAAAAATCTACAGGCCATAGTGTACTAGAAATTTAGAACTTAAAAGGTTGCATTAGACTTGCACTTGCTCACATCGACACAGTGAAAATTAGTGGAAAACTACTGTTTTTCCAGTTAAAAGTAAAATCAGGTTCTGATTGTTGGTTCCCAACAGTTACCTTCCTAGCTTTTTTCCTCACTGTCCTTCCTTGCCTCCTGTGTATTCTCATCGGGGGAAGAATATTGGAGAGGTTTCCACTCCACCCCGTTCAGCAGTTTTGATAAAGAAAAGCCAAGCACCTGTCCTTGTGCACGCTGGTATCGATGGTGCTGTATTCCCTTACTTCATCCTGTTCCCCCACAGCACTGAGCTTCTACAGGCCTAATAAATTTGTTTAGAATTAGATATTCATGTTCTACAGGGGATGTTTATGTTAACGTTTTTGATGTGCTGTTTCTATGGGGGGTTGGGGAGTATCAAAGACAAGTCGTGCTTACAAAGTCATCGGAGTGATGGCACAGTGAAGAAGAACTCGAGACAGAAAGAAAGGAGCTCATAATGGGTACGGATGCTGCTTTCTTTATAAGGAAGAGTATTCAAGACCCAGTGAGGTTTCCACCCAGATGCTACAGTAACTGGCAGCCTCTAAACTCCTACACTAAAATATACCTCGATATTTTAATCAGGCACTTAAATAGGGAAAAAAAAAAAACAGAGCAGTAACATTTAACATAGGTATTGTGACATCTATTCTGTAAGGCCAGAACATCTTGTATGAAGCACTCAGGAAATTCCCTGTCCCACAGAACTCATCACTCATGTCAAGGGCTAAAGGAATGTAGAGTCCCTCATCTGACAAACATGTTTAAAAAATAAAAAGACTAAAAGATGATTAGTAAATATTTGGTAGAAGCCATTAACCACAAATTATATTCTTCATTATCTAATGTAAAATGTAGTGCAAGGTTATTAATCCCTTGAGAAGATGGATCCAAAAGTAAACATTCAATCAGCTTTAATTTACAAGATTTTTTTTTTCCCCACCAAAACAAAAAGTTTCTCCGCTGATAATAAGCTCCCTGAGGGAATACATTATTTTTTTTTTCAAAGGAAAAAAGCAATCATATAAAAACAATCTGAAAAGCTCCAACAATCAATAGTTGCCCTATTTTGAGCCATAACACATTTCTGATCAACATTTCTTTGGAAAAACGTGGGTTAGACCAACCAGTCACTGGTCCTGTAAGAGGGGCCCTGACCTCCCTTCTTTTAAGAAGTTTTCTGGAGATGAGAGTAATCATTCCTTTAAAACTGTAATGAACATATTTTACTCAAATACACTTCAAAGTTACAGGAAAATTCTACCTGCAAGACTTCACCTACCAACATTTAAATGGTTCATTCGAGATTCTGTCACAAAAATAGAGAATCAAGGAAAAGGAGGTGGAAATTCAGTTGTAAGACTAAACACTTGAGAGGTCATCTCTATGTTATGCAAGTCAAGGGACAAATGAAAAAAATCTACAGACACACAAAACACATTTTTATGGTAATGAGAATACCAAGTATTTAAACCATTCTTAAGGAATTTATTTTTTGTTTACTGACGATTTACAAGGCCTTGATTATTAGACAAAATAGCATATTTAACTAAACTCAAAAAAAATACAAACCAATAGAGAATAGAAGGAAACGCTATATGGTTCTGTAGAATATATCACACCCAGCGCACGCACTGCTTCGCTTTTTCTCATCTGAACCCATCTGTTACTTCTAGGATTTTTTGCAAAGAAACATTTTGGTCTAGCCAACATGTAGTGTACAGTTTCAGACCACTGAATTAGGCTCTAGTTCTGGCGTTAGTCTACAGTCTAAACCACTGCAGCAGATCTTTCGAAGTGTTTAGTGTAATCAAGAACTGATCTAGACATTTTTTGAGTGGTTAACAATAAACTGGAGTTATAGACTGCACACAGTTCAGTATGGTACATTAACCGAAGCTAAAACTTTTAGTATGCTTATTGCCAATTTCTCCCCAATTTTAACAAGCAGAGCTTCTTTGCAGGTACATTATTGCTGAGGGTAAAAAGGCTGTTGAGGAAAAGGGTATCCAGGTTGTTGAGCTGGCGGATATGGTGCTTGTCCAGGGTTTTGAAAGACAGGTGAGGGTGCATATGGCAGATTATATTGACCATACATGTATGGATTATAGGCCACGGGCATTGGCATCTGGCAATACCTGTGTGGGAGGGGGGAAAAAACAAATAATCATATTTTTAGATGCAAAACAATGCTTATGTTAATTTGAAAATAACAACTCAAAGACATACAATCACTGCAAATGCTTTCATTTCCCTTTCTGCACAGCAGAAAGCATTGTAACTTTCAAGGATCAAACATGAAAAAAACACCCAAACAAGCCATAATGCATGGAACAGAAAGGGAGACAGAAGGTGGACTGAAGGCAACCAGCTGAACACGAACTGATCTAAATTGATTCTCTTATGTTTAATATCATTGTACATATTTTAACATTTGCTGAGCCTGTTGCTGAAGAAGAGAGCAGCTGCCTTCAATTCCTTGTGAGGACTCCAAAAAGATGGAAAAAAACATCAGAAGAAAGCACACTACTCAACTGAATTGTTTCTGTATTTTTCATCATCTTCAGCAAGATACCAATAGTTGAAAAATGAGATACGCCAACACTTTTGAGATAAGCAACACCAGCTGATTATGCAAGGGCTGGCAACAGTCCACAAAACACAGTTCAGAACTGCACTCCTATCTCCCATCTCCTCAAAAAATGCCCAACTCCAAAAACTTAAAACAAACCCTCCCACAAATGATCCCAGCAAATGATCCCAACAAGAATCACATGATTAAAACAAACAAAAAAATTATCTAGCCTCAAACACTAAACACATCTTCAATTATAATAATAACTCATTTTAAGCTGTCACATGGAACAAACAAGTGCTTTTTGGTCTCAGGATAAAGAAGTGCTCAAGTACTCCCATAGCTTACCCTGGGTAACCTGGATAAGTTGGGTACGGAGGTCCCTGTGCCTGTGAAGGTGCAGTGTTTGCTGCAGGGGCACTGGCTCCTGGAGTAGGAGTAGGAGCAGCAGCAGGAGCAGCAGGAGGAGCTGCAGCTGTCCCCGAGGGTGCTGATGCAGAAGGGGAACTGCTTGCTGCAGAAATCACTGGGGGTGGTGGCCGTGCCGGTGGCTGCGGTTTAGTCCCCTAAGAAGAGAAAGTGAATTAAGCTGCAGCTTCTTTCTGAAAGTCTCAAAATCAAAATCTGTGGTTATAGGACTAGTTAATTTTTATTTTAAATGGACATTCTATAATAATGCAAAGAATGTAAAAAGCAATAAGCTTTCCGTTTCAATTCTATAAATTATGAACACCAAGAGTACATACTACATCTCTCTGCAAAGCCTCTAGACTTTGCCCTCTATTTCACTTCACCATATTTCCAAATACACCAATATACTAAGGAGTAGTACACGCAAATTACAGATCAGGTTGGAGATCCAAAGTGTGGACCCTCTATTTTTCAACCCACTAATTCCATAGCATATATTTACCACCATGGTTCTGGGTGCTGGAGTCGGAGCCGACGATGCAGCAGGCTTAGTTCCTGCGCCTGGCGTGGTCTGATACGTCGGCAGAGGAATAGAGGGAGCACTGGGTTCCCTGGCAATGCTTTGCTGCAAATCTCTATTTAAAAAAAACAAACAAGCAAACACACAGCTTAGTTTAAGAATTGTTTGTTACACACTTCAGCAAGCTAAGCTAAAAAGATGCAACGGAGTAAAGCTAGTATTTAAAGCAGGGTGACTGAGCTCGCTCAAACTAAATCGGGAGTCCAAATCACTTCCACAGAAACAATCCTCTAGCCAACCCTCTGATTAACTGTTACAGTTGTTTTCTAATAATGTCTTTAATGTTGCAACTCAATACCGGGTATAGATCACTGAATTAGCCAAAAGCTTTGGGATCAGAAATTATAGAGTAGTCAGAATGCTTAGCAACTTGGAAGCTTTCCTGAGAACATAAGGAAACCTCAAGGATATGGAAAAGGATATAAGTACATTTCAGTAATTTTGATGTGTAAACAGATGCTCAAATACAGAAAAAAATCCCAATGTTGTATTGCTTGTAGATTTCCCTAAATTAAATAATATTGCATGCAAATACCATACATCTAACAGAATTGTTAAAAAAGAAAAAAGAAAAGTCCACTAGAATTGCAATATTATTTTTATCTGGATAATCATAACTATAAAAAAAAAAACCTGGCAAATATCTGAATGGCTCAGCAAGCACATGACCTGTCAAGTGCTTTGTTCTGTTACGTCTAGTGTTCAAATTACTCTTGATGAGACACAAGGTGGCTTTGGTGTCAGGCTGTACTACAGACATTCACAGAATTAAACAGAGTAACTTTACAGTCAGTCTGCCAGGAAGACTCCCAGGAAGCAGTTTTAAGTTCCATATTCAGAGGCATGTGGTGCATTTCTCAACGCAAGGATTCAATATTTGAGATTGGGCAGATTCTTCAGAGACTTGAGGAAACATTTAAAATTTCAGACAATTTTGCCTAAAAATGACAGGTGAGCGATATGCAACAGTTGGAATTTGATACCTGGTGTTCTGAAACAGAAGCCAGGGGAGGCTGACAAAGGAATCCAGTCTAGTTGGCAACAAACTACAGGCTCCTATTACACAGCCTGCAAAGGGGAGCTCCAAAGGAAAACAAAAGTGGGAAACTTGGTACCAAAAAAAACCAAGACTGAAACAAAAACTCCCAAGGAAACTCTTCTTGTAGTTACCCCTTCAGTGAAATGGAATGATGGAGAAAAAGCTGGAAATACTGTCTTGATGCTGTTATATACCCGTATGTATATCTCAAACTGTTTCTCACAGGTAGTGGAGTCACTATTCAACACTGTGTTATACTGAAACTAACAAAACCCAAACTTAACACCTTAGAAGATGATACAAGGGATTTTCTTCTTAAAAATCACACCACAGAGACCAATGGCGTACAGAACAGAGGTACCATTCAGAGTGAAGTATATTTTGACCACAAAGTGACAAAATGTGAAACTTAAAACGTTATTAAAACCAATCCTCCAATGGAACATCTTTACTTGGGGAAAAAAAAATAATCTCTAGTTATAAATGAGAAACCGTCTAAACAAATTTATTTTCACTAATTGAAGATGCAGCCCACAGTCCATAATTTCATGGTGGTTGAGGGGGGCAGGGGACAGCACAGGGAAGTGACAACAAACACACATTTAATTTATTCAAACTGTGGGCACCAAGAAACACATTTTGTAAACGTATACTCCAAATATTCCAAATCTGATCACTGCCCCCAACCTTGACAGGGTTCCATTTCAGCCACCATTTAATACACAAGGCAGTAAAAGATAGCATGGCAAGAACCCAGCTGAATGTTCTACCAACACTAAGCTTACAGCTCGAACGCTGAATATTAACTTATTAGAGATGTGAGATATTCAGACCTTGGGTAGGCAACCCACAGCTTCCAAACTGCATGAGTGTAAGAACTGGAAGAGAGGTGGAAGGGGTTGTTACACGGTTACTAAGAATTCATTTACAAGCATGATGCCCAGCTGAAAAAGAACAGTTCTACAAGAGATGAAGTCAGGAAAGGTAAAATTTGAGGGCTGAGCATCCCATTCAAAACATGGCACGTGCACAGAATAGTTGCACTTTCACCAACCAAGATTTTAGTAACAACGAGCCCTTTTTATAAGGGGCTACGTATGGACTTGGCTAAAGAGTACTGATTAAAAGGCAACCATTTTTAGTTATATTTTCCTCCTAAGAGGAGAGCCTAAAAATCACAGCTGAAGCTTACTGTGACACAACATCAGACACTTTCCTTCACGTGAAGGACAAAATCTGCTTCTCTCCCCCTGCCGTGTAGGCAACCCATGCATCTGAACAATGGTAAGGTGTCAGACCAGACCACGGAGCAGAGATGGAATACCAATGGTTTTCCCACCACCACACTGGGCACGTGGAATCATATGCTGAAGCATTAATCTAATTTCTTAAACCAAAATGACTGCAGGAGCAACGTGCAGAAATCAGAAGTTCCTCAAAGGAAGGAATAAAATAAAATTATTAACAAACGCATGCCAGAAAGAACTGAGAGTGAAATCATGATAAGATGGAACAGATTCATGCTGAACATCGGAATAGTGCATGCCAGAAAGAACTGAGAGTGAAATCATAAGATGGAACAGATTCATGCTGAATATTGGAATAGCAGAGCAGACTTCAAAGTAGATTTTTCCATTTATTTCTCCTGTCAACTTTCCTAGTTTTTCAGGGGAGAGGAGAGTGGGGTTAGCACTAAGGCAAAGAGGAGGTGATAGTCTTAACACACTTACTCTTCCTTTCTCGTTTCATCAAGTACCCTAATAAACATGTACCCAAAGATTAACTTCTACAATGCTTAAATAAAATACTGAAGTCTTACTTGAGCAGTTCATCTCTTTCAGTCTTGCGAGCAAAGACAATGTCACTGCATTTGTTTTGGAATTTCAGCAGGATTTCTGTCAGCTCATTGTAGAACTAGTGAAGGAAAAAAAAAAAATAACATGCTTAACCAATACTTTCAGACTCCACGCTAGCATATTTTTTACATATTGATCCCATTGTAGGTGATATATTATTAAAGTGCCCAGAACGTGCCATTTCAGTAAAGTTTTCTAGTGTATTTTATTCTGCTTTTCAAAAAAAAAAAAAGTCAGGATATTAAAGGGATGGCCAACAGCTAAGATTTGTGTGTGTGTGTTACATATATATACATTTATACACACACACAGATATCTCTCTCTATGTGTATATAAATATAAAAATAGCTTAAGACAACTAGAAAATGTATTACAACCAGAATAAAATAGAACACTTCTGGTGATTAACTGTTTATCACCTAAAGGATAATTTTTTCTGTTTTTAATTTTACTGCCTTCAGTCAGTTCCACGCATTTCATTTGTATGGACATTTCAGAGTTTTGTTTTCCTTTTTCCCCTCTAGGGAGCTATCAATAAACCAACAAAAAGTACTTAATAAAGCAGCACTAAGACACCTTCCAGAAGCCCAGATCAAAAAAAGCACGCTAAATAAAGCCCTCCTCATCTGTCCTCATGCATGCAGTGGCAGCTTATAAAACACAAATTTGATAAGGTAATTAAATACCATGGGAGAACAGAGGAAAGACTTCCTCAGATAAAATGGCTCATCTGGGTACTTCAGCATCAGTTACTCAGCTGTAATTAACACCTTTTCCTATTTTAATATAAAGCAATGCTCAGAAAAGCTTACTTTTCAGATAGGAACAAAGCAGGTTTTCACAGCTCTCAAAACAATCAAAATCCAAGCAACTCCCTGTCCTCACTTCAGTAGCAAAATCCTCAAAAAATGTACCTCTCATCTAGCAGGTCTGCAAAGTTTATTATGATTTTTGATTCACATCTTATTGTGTAAATAAATAACAAAAAAGTTCTTCTAGTTCCTTAAGTGTTACCATACCTTGGTGCCTTCTTTTAAATTGGCTACAAGCTCCACGAAGTTGTCATTTGCTACAGCTAAGTTCTTCAAAACTTCTTCTCTTAAATTAGATTCGTTGTTTGATTGTTTCATCTTTGAAAAATCCTGATGTGCATTCTTAAAAGAAGGGGAAAAAGAAGCATTGAAAATAACGCAAGCTAGTTCCATGTAAGATTGTGCTTCTTTGGGTATTTTTCCTCTTACTCATTGCTTCAACCCCCTTTTCCCAGCATTTACCTTTCCTTGCCTTCCATTGACACATTGTTCTTCCCAATACTTGCTGTCTGCCAAGAGCAGTGGCTACTTCAGAACTATGCATACATTAACTCACTGGCAGTAGGTAGCAGCTAATTACCTGTTCTGTTGTGGGCTGCCTTCAGCTACTTCTCAAGTTCATACTGCAGACTCTCAGAGGCTGTACTAATTAGGTTCTCTCCATTGATATTCATAAAACCATACTGAAAGTTAGCGTTTTTAAGAAGTGCTACCTCAAATTTGGTTGACATTGGCAAGCTACTAAAAGGACAGGGAAGGGGAAAACTTACAGAAGGATCACATACATCTTGTTTCTTTTGGGAAAATAAACAACAATACTTCAGAAGATTACTCCAGCTCTGAGAAGCAGCCAAACTTGAACATCAAAGGAATATCCATCAAGATTTTTAAAGTCTATTATGTTAAAAGGTATCTCAATATAAAATCCTGGACAAACACAGGCCATATGGTCATTTAGAAATTATCTTTTTTCCTTGTGGAAAAATCTCTTCTTCTTGCAATCCAAGTTGCAGTCAGAATTTGCAAGTAATCTCGTGCACAAATAGGCCCCATTATTACTCAAGCCACTATTGTCACCTCTCCAAGCACCAAGACCTCTTTTGCCACGTTTTAGGTGCCCGTCTCTAGCATTATTGACAAATTAAGGATGAACTTACAAATAAACTTTGGGGAATTCTCAGTAATTTTTACTTTGGTGAGCTTTGTACATTCTGGAAATCAAGCACATTGTAAATAGCAATTAGGAATAAATCAAAGTGTACTTCAGAGACCCAAAACGTCTTCTAGTAGAGAGTAAGGACAGTTCTCCTTCTATCCCAGAAACAAGTATTACGATGGGATATGGGGAAAAAACAAGACAACAATCAAAAACTTCTTAACACACCAGTTAAGCTTCTTTCAAGGACAAAGCCATCTGCAGAACTAGGCCAAGAAAAGGTCCAAGAGAATTTACAGTGGAGCTCTGGGAGATTTCTAAAGCACCGGAGAGATCATTGCTCCTTATTTTAAGAAGACAACATACAAGGTGTTGTACCTGAATGTTTTTGAGAAGTTCTTCCTGCTTTTTTAGGGACTCTTGAACTTTCTGTGTGTAACTCCCATAAATTCTGTCCAACTCTGTCACAGAGATAGCCTCCTCATTTATAGCACCATCCTGTGCGAGTGCAGTTAGGAATTTGCTCGTCATGTCAAAATTTACAGATTTCAAGTCATTTTCCAGTTGCTCTCTCTCCTTCTTAACTTCATCCAGATTGGCCAACAAAGTTCTTAAGACATTAACAACCTGGGTAAGAAAAATTGTCAGAAGTTTGCATGTTTAAAGGAATTATTCCAGAATTACACTCTACTACTTGTTTCCGTCTAACACTCCTCACTGATGCTGACAACACTACTGCATGACTGTTTGTTTATAAATGTGTTTAAGATGACAAACCAGGACAAAACTCAACAAAACAAAGATCTTTAAGTATTTCTCATGCTATATTCTCCTTTAAAGATTTGTTTGTTTCCACTAATAACACTGAATTAATACAAAGATTTTTAAGTCTTTTTAAAACTGATCAGTCTATTCTAAAATGACAGTCAAAACATGGACTTCAAATCACTCCTATAAGAAAAACAATATTCCTGTAGATGAGACATTACTTTCTTGGAAAGTAAGTTGGTGTAACTGCCTGAAATTTTAAAATACTAGGCTGTATCTTTTACATTGCCTAATTGCCCCAAGAGACTGAGCCCTACATCCCACCACCCTATATAACAAAAATATTCATCAAGGATTGCTCTTCTTGTAGCAGTCAACCAGTCTTGCCATCCCTGGCAATTGAACTTGCTCACACTAAGTGTAATGAAATATACTCAAGCAGATTTTAAATTAAAAAAAAAAAACAAACCCAATCTCTTTTCCAAATGTTAGTTACTTCCTGTATCAATTGTGAGAGAAACAGGAGCAGCTGAGGATCAGCCTCCACAACAGTTCATCTAAGTTTACTATGTTAGGCCGGAGCACCTCTGCTATGAGGACAGGCTGAGAGAGTTGGGGGTGTTCAGCCTGGAGAAGAGAAGTCTCCAGAGAGACCTTGTAACGGCCTTCCAGTACCTGAAGGGGCTACAGGAGAGATGGGGAGGGACTCTTTGTAAGGGAGTAGAGAAATAGGGCGTTGGAACTCGATGATCTTTAAGGTCCCTTCCAACTCTAACCATTCTGTGATGCTATGAGTAGCACTTCCGCTCAAAATGGAGACAAATTTCAATGCTTTACCTCACTTCCTTGTAATGTTTTTGCTGGGTTGGCAGAAGGAATGGCAGCATTGAGTTCTGCCTCAGGCTTACACAGAAGTGCAATTGTATCTCGGTGGGACTGATAGCGCTCTTTAACTTGGCCATCTGCTTGCACAGCTTTATTCAAAATATTATGGAAATTGGCTCCCTCTGGTGGTAGGAAGAAGAAGAATAAAAAAAGGTCGTTTATATCATTTCAAAACTTGTTTTATCCAAGACTTGCACTCGAGCAGCTTTCATGCTTTTTGCAAGTCTTCATACATTTTTATGAGCCTGCACATCCTGAAGTTATTAAGACTTACAAAAAAACCCTTAAGCTTCTAAGTTATGTTTTATGGAGTGCATAAACTAGGCATCTATATTAATTCTCCAGAGAAGTATACAAAAGTACATTACATGAATAAACACTGGTTTGAGGTACTCTTCAAATTTAAAAACTTTGCTAAACCAAGGCACCGGTATCACTCCCTTCTTAGCTTCAAAACAACACATATTAAATGCACAGAAACCGTGCTAAAGTCATGGTCCTCAGTAGTTTGACTAACTGCTAGGGAAAGAAAAAAAAAACAGTACAGCAAATCAAAGACAAAAGCACACCTTGATGGGAAATACAAAACCAGAATGTTAATTTACAAAAAAAAAAAAGTGAAGTATTTAAGAGGCAATTGCAACCAGATTCTTAGGAGAACAGCCATTTTTCATCACATATGCTTTCTGACACTTAAGCATGCACGCGCATTCCAGGGGTGCAAAAGCAGCAGCAAATTCTCTGCTGCCACATCATGTCTCCACTCCAAATAATGGTGCAGATTGCATAAGGATATTTTGGCATAACCTCTGCTAAAGTGAAATTTTTGTCTTTAAAGGTAATATCAGAAAACTACTTCAATTTATGCAGCGAGAGTGGATATTTGTAGAGCATCCCCAGAATCCAGTGCATGAAACATGAACTTTACCTGCCCTTAAAGGCTTGTAGAGTTCGTTGGAGGGCGTTCTCTGCCAGCGTTCTTTGAATTTTGTTCGCAGGTCGTTGTCTGTAGTTTCTTCCTCATCCAATAACCGCAGTGACTGCAAGAGCCAAGTGTTACACACATTATAAGCCATTCTAAACATGAAATGACTACAAAAATAACCAGCTAGTGTAGAAAATATAAAGAATGCTTATACTTCCTTTATAAATTTATTTAATTCGGAAAATAGAAAACAGGCACGAAAGCAACAAATCACACCAGTTTCTTGAGAACGCATTCCCTCCCCCTAACCCCAGCAATGTTAAAAACAAAATACTCATAAGGGAACATCCACATGTGACAGCACAGTTTTTGTATGGACTAAACACTTAAATGACATATTTTTAAAGTGCTATTAAAGTTACAAGCATTTTGGATAATAGTGCACTTTTTCTATTGCTGTTAAAAGAAAAAAAGTTCAATGGTGGTACGTTTTAAGCATATTTGAATGTTGGGGGTTGCTGAGCTTACTTCATCTAAAATTTCTTTATTCCTTTGTAGCAGTTCAGGCAGATCTTTGATCAACTGATCAACGGTCTGAATTCCTCCCTGTTCAATCACAGACTTAGACTTGTTCAAAATAGACTGAGGAACGGTGTCGCCAGACACATCTTCGATAGCAGCAGGGAGATTGAGGGAAGCCAACACGCTGAAAGAGTCAACATATGAAACAACAACTTGTTTGTAGTATTAGATGGTTTTATCCTGTAAATAGTGCTGCTGCTATCCAAACAAACAAAGTCAATTATAAAGGACATAGTATCATGTACTCCTGGACAGAAATTGCAAACTGAAAACTCTAAATGTATTCCTAGTGTCTATCACACCATCAGTAAGCTTCAAAGCTCTTAAAAAGCTAAACAAATCCCAGTTCTTTAGCATTTACAAAATATGGCAAACATTTTCAGTAGTAACTATCTGGTAGATGAAGAACCAACTGTCTTGAGTGACATTCCTATCTTTCAGCTTGATATAATGTTTTTATTATTTTGTAAAGAACAAAATTTACAGGGAAAAAAATCACATATTGAGTCCCTGGTGCAATCAAGCTGACCACTGGAATATAAGGATTAATGGAACTGGAATTTTTTCTGAGCAAGCGTCAGACTCCTAAAAAATGAGGAAATATTGAAGAAAATTGAATACCATTTGTTCTTAATATGGTGTCTGTCTTAACATCCACAGAAAAGTAGTTTGAAATACCCCTGCTATGGCTTAAGTTTGCTAGCTTACCATGCAGTAATAAAAAGGTACTGCCATCTGAATGTCCAGAGGTGGAAAGGCAACCGCTGTTTACATGTAGGCTGTTCCATAAATCCTCTTGATAAATGTAACAAGCCATACTTACCCATTTGCCAGATTTGTGGCTTCTCTCATCTGGGCTATTGACCTGTTTACTAGATCTGCCTTTCTCTGGTTATAAACACTCACAGATTGCTGAACTTGCAAGGGAACCATCTTCTCAAACAGGTCTGCAATTAAAGTAGTATAAATTACTCAAAGATGCGCTGTTGAAGGTGAAAGGACACAAATATCTTCACAGCTCCTCCTTACAGGTTGTTGTACAGAGACTGATCTGAACAGTTTAAGATACTCTCCCACACTCCCCAAGATGTCTTAAAAAGAAACCAAACAAAAAAAAAAAAAACCACCCAACTATTTCTACAGGTCTTGAGATTAGGTTTCATAAAAAAAAAAAAACAAACAAAAAACCCACCCAACTATTTCTACAGGTCTTTAGATTAGGTTTCAGTTTTTAAGACTGAAATTGATTTAGAAATAATTCGAAGTCATTACATTTAAAACAATTTTAGGATTACAAATCAGGCTTCGTTTTCAATTCTGCTTTTTTAAAAGAGGAGAATGAGAAACAGAAGAGGGGATCATTTCTCAGAACTCCTCCATACAGCCAACAAACTGAAATTTTTCAGCTTTATGGAAGGTCAGCAACTAAGTTAGTTAAGATAGTACAATTTGATACTTCTCCCTGATATTAGTGTCCCTTCTGGAATTCAAAAAAGTTGGTTTAATATAGAAAATACAGTTGCTGAGAAAATCTGAGAGAATCTTTGACAGAAGGGCACACTGCATATAATGATTTTTAACTTGTGCCTTATTCTTTCAGTACTTTTTATCATCAAGAAGTAGAACAACAAACTGGAAAAGACAAATGGGACTTTCACAAACACTGCTGTACACTGAGTAAAATTCAAAAGTAAACATTTACTTCTTCATGGTATGAATGAACTTTGGTGGCCGTGTGTTGCACAAGGTAACAATTACCCTGGGCACTCCACACACTTCACTTACCAGTGAATTTCTGACTGAGGGGAACAGCAACTGGAGTAGACTTGACAAGACTGGCTTTTCCAATGGACTCCAAATCTTTCAGGTCAGGAACTCGGTCATGGTAAATGAAGTCATTGTCTTTTTTGGCGGCTGTAAGCGCTCGGTTGATTTTGTCAACCAGATCTTTAACGTTTATATATTCATCGTAACGAGAGGCAACTGTTTTCACCAAGTCTGCTGCATGCTAAAAAAAAAATAAAAATACAGTTAAAATAACTTTTCCTTCTTCCTTTCACAAATACTTAAGAAAGCAGATGAGCTTTCCCATTTGCTAAGTAACTACTGCCAACACATATGATCAGTATTATTATTTCCGTAAGAAAATATTCTTCCCTCTTATGTATCAAAAAGGGAAAAGGAGATTTTACTCATTAAAATAGACCATTGGGGAAAAAAATGCTGCATGCTAAAAAAAAAAAAAAATAAAAATACAGCTAAAATAACTTTTCCTTCTCCCTTTCACAAATATTTAGGAAAACAGATGAGCTTTCCCATTGGCCAAGTACCTACTGCCAACACATATGATCAATATTATTATTTCCTTAAGAAAGTATTCTTCCCTCTTATGTATCACAAAGAGAAAAGGAGATTTTACTCATTAAAATAGTTCATTGGGGGGAAAAAAATAAAAACAAACAAAAAACAGTAATACAAGTTAATCTCTCAAAATAGCTTCACTATGACCCCAATATCCAGAAGTGATCATGAGCTAAATGCAACAAAAAAAAAAAAAAACCCAAAGAAAAGAAAGAAATAAAGTGCCACCACGTCATTTTCATGTTGTTTCCTAAAACCCAGAGCTTGCATCTGCAGGTACTGCAACTTGTTTCTCAAACCTTGCGCACATTCATGAAGGAAGAAGGCAGAGTCCTGCACACCTGCCACCAGCACCCATCTAACCTTAAGCTCAGAAGCTACAGAAATTATTCAGAAATTATTATATAGAACAGGAGATCTGCTAGGCAGATTTGAAACTCAAGAATAAACAACTGATATGCCTTCATCTATCACCTAGTAATGTAGCCAGAGTACAACAACTTGCTACTAGAAGCTCATACAGGCACCTCATTGTCATGCAAGCATACCAAAAAAAGAAGTTTCAAGCTCCATCCTGCTGCAAGTCAATAAATGCAGAATGGTAACTTTCAAAATGTCAACATGATAGTTTTACCTAAGTCTCTCAACCCTCCTGCATATCAATAAATAGACATTGCACATGGATCCTACAAATTCAGTCAAAGCAGCACTATTTTCTTTTTTCACAAGGATCAGAAGACATGAAGTAGTTATTTTTTAGTCATTTTCTCCCCTACCTTAATTAAAACATGAGAAAACCTTACTTATGTTAATATAACATCTGTATCTCAGTCCCTCTAGAAACCATATATAGTGGCAAAAAACTATAAGGACTAAAAATACAACTGTATGTACGTTTTTAAAAAATGATCCAGATGTAGACTGGGATGGCAGGAAAGGAGTTTTGTATACACCAGACAGAATTTTAATGTTTTGGGATTATTTTTTGTTTTATAACATTACTTAGGAAGGTTTATTATCAGATCTGTTATATTAGCTATATTGAGATAAGAAGCCTATGCAAACATAAAGATACAGATGTAACATGTCAAGCAGCAATAAACTGCCCAAAAGTCATTAAAATACGTCTTCATAAAAGCTACAGCGATAACTCTCATATTTGCAGCTGCTAACAATTTGATATATGTGATAAACATACTCTGTAATTTTTTTTACTACATTTTAATTCTTAGCTATTTGAACTTTAGAACTCTGAGCTAGCTTTTCAGGGTTTAAAGTTTTCTGATATTTTTCGGAGAAGAAAAATAGTTACCCACCTGCAACCTCCCAATTTCTTCACCAAATTTCTTCTGCTGTTTTGCCAGGATAGATTGATGATATTCTGCATTGGCCTGCATAATACAGTGCTTTGCAGCCAGAACAGGAAACACCTCCTGGAAATAAAAATACTGACCAGGGGAAAGTCCAACCACATTAACCACCACCACAGACAACATGGGATGCAGGAAGAAAAAGGAAGAAGAAAAGGAAATTAGAATCACCCAATTAATGGTTTAGATAGGTTAAAACATTAGAGGTAAATGTCAGAGACCACGTGACTTTGCATGTATTGAATCCAGTCTTTCTTTTTGTTTAATCTGTTGTTGCAAAATTCTTAGGGTTCATTATTTTAGATGAACTACAATTTAACTTCAAGCCATGAAGTCGCAACATTTACTTCAAAGGTTAGAAATGCATGCATAAGTTAGAAAGGATAGTTGCAAGAACACACCCAAACGGTCCCAAGACAAAGCCAAGACACAAGTGTTCTTAAAAGAAGGGGAAGGGGAGAAGACAGGTCCCTTTTTTCTTTTCTTTTAATTTAACCAAGCAATTACACTTAAAACAGCAGCAGGCCTATCAAGAGAGCAACTCTAAAATTTTGAAAGCAAAGAACAAGTAAAGAGACCAATAACTATGGACATGGAAAGCAATTTAAAAGATTTAAGCCCTTTTTAGACTCATATAAATGCACTTATCTTTGCAGTTGTACCAACCAAGACACGAAGAAAACCTTATGCTGCAGCCCACAGTATAAGCATGGTCTTTGATCAAGGATTTGGTCTTACTGACTTATTTCTTAAATCAAGGAGCACTGGAAAACCAGAGTGATGTTTTAAAGTTCTCAGTATATAAAGACCTGCTTCTTCACATTTGTGCAAACTTGCTGCCCCCACAGAGATGGAAAAAAAAAAAGATGATGGTAAATTTGGATGAAAAAGTCATCTGGGAGGCCTTGCAACTGGAATCTGACCCATGAGGTCAATCTCTACTTCACACTCCTAAACCTGTAAGTGTTCTCACAGCTGGTGTTAATTCATGCAACCAGCAAACCTTGTTATGTTCTTTCAGATGATCAACTGACAGATCACTGTGCAACTGCAACAGGGAGTAGATCTATGGCTTAGAAAGGTCCACAACAACAAAAGACAAAGCAATGGCTTTATTTTATCTCATTGCCTCTCAGAAATCCATCGTAAATATAATATCTAGAGGGAGAAATTGCCCTATATGTAAAAAAGTTTTTTTTTCCAAAAATATATTAAAAAAGCCCTGACTGGCCTACAAAAGCATTTGTGTAATTTATTAATTAAGAATACAAATACATACTTTTACTTTAGTACAGCAGCCCTTATACATACAGTTCCTATCATTATCAAGATTCTGTTCTGCACTAGAAATTATAAACCTAGCACTGCACAAAAGGGTTTGTACTATTTTATTATTTCAACATAATTGATACATTTGATACTTGTCATACAGTATATATTCAACGAGCATGAAAAAATAGCCTTCTGCATCTTCCAAAACCACCAGCGCTCCAAGGAACAGTCAAGTCTGATTTGAGACAAATTACAAGTATTGAGAAGGTTTTAGGGTGGAGGAAGAGGGGAAGGCAGACAGAAGGACAAAGGACACACACTGACTTCCAGTCATGTTTTTCATGATCAGGTAAGCGAACGGTACCGCTGTATTCATGCTGGACACGAGAGCAAGTTTCACGTGCAAACATTAAGACTAGATACCAATTGAGCCCCATTAGAAAGTGTTAGGTTTAGAGACAGATTTAGTAAGGCATTAAGTACAAGAAGCCATATCTAAATGCTATCAGAAACATTTCACGATCACTTTAAATGAAATTTAAATAAGTTGCAAGTAAACACTTCGTGTAATAGGATTTTACTTCCTAAAAACAACAAAAAAACCCACTTGCTATCTTTTGCCTCCTAGATCCTTCACTGCTTTTCAAATTACAGGTTCATTTCTTTCAAATGTAGCAATATGTCAGCTTCTCTCGAGGATACGTTGAAGTGTATTTTGTCAACATTATAAACAATAACTGTTATTCCCAAAGTAGCAATATGTCAGCTTCTCTCGAGGATACATTGAAGTGTATTTTGTCAACTACATTATAAACAATAACTGTTATTCCCAACAACAGCAGATCCCAGGTAATTTCCAGGAGAGGTACTAACCTTGGGCAAAGTATCTTTATATTGACACTGTTTGTAAGCATCACCGTAGTAATCAGCAGCTTGATTAGCTAGTTTAGCTATGATACCATCTTTCATTTTATCTGAGGGAAAGGGGAGAAAAAGCAAAGAACAACGATGGTTATCATCAGTTTTTACAAGTGAGCAGGTAAATGACTTCATCTTCAATCAGCAACAACTACATTCTAAGGGTAAAGCTTTACATTATAGCTCAGAGGTGGGAATCCCATTCTTCTCCCTTGACATCCAGCAGCAGCTCCCAGATTTCCTATTTCAGTAGCCAGATTTCCTACTTCAGTAGCCTTCAACACCGAAGGTTCAGTCAGTCATACAAGAAATCTTTTGGCAGCTGCTGGCATTTATGGAGGATGAAGAGTGATGCTTTACCTCAGAGGAAGGGCAAGCTGCCAGCAAGAGCTGCTGTCCCACTCTTCACTCTGCCAGCTTGTTCCAGCCTGGTGGCAGCACAAGCATTTGTGCAGCCATAGTCAAAAAGAATTTAGCTGGAACCTAGTTAGCAAAAAAGAGTTAATTTTCAGGATCTGTCCTCTAACCCAACTCCATGACAGGACTCTCAAACATTTGCAGAAGTGCAACAGCAGAGAAGGGGCTGGTCCCTTCCGTGGCAGCCCACACCACTGCTGACTTACAGCAACGTACAGAAACGCCATTCCTAGCCATAAATAACCACCGTTCCTTCCAAGTGGTATCAAATACTCCATATCAGAGCTGTGTGTGCCTCGCGGCAGCGCTATTCCCTCCCTCACGTCCTCACCCTGTTCCTGAAGCCAAAGCTGTTAAAATAGGAACACGCATCTATCTTTATCTGCTTTTATAATCACCCCTGGCCAGCACTAGCCATTCAGCCTTCCAAAAGAAGGCAGGCAATCAATACAAAATTTGCTGTCCCCTCTAAATAGCTGCCCTTACCAACAAGCACCCTCTGACTCAGGTGATTCCTATGTACTGCCAGACTGATACGTGTAGGGTGGAGGTATGCAGAGATTAGGAGGTCTGCAGAGTAGGCTTAATTAATGGCCAAAATTAAATCAAAGGGATTCCCAAGCTGTCTCCTCATTCCAGCATATTCACACATCTATCTGCAACACTTCTGGCATGAGTTATGATGCAATATATTTACCTTCTATGAGGTAAATGCATTTAAGCTGTGCCAGAAAGATCTTTTCACTGTGGAAGAGGATTTAGATGACAAACAGAGAAAAAGGAGCTTTATGAGATCTAGCAACTTACTTCTTTGCTAAAATGTTTCTCTCCAGTGCACTAAATATTTCAACAAAACCAAACAAATAAAATCTAAATTGACTGTTCTTCCAGCCCCACCTAGTGTGTGGTAGCTTCAAGAAAAGAAAATTAAAAAAATATTGGCACATTAACTACATTTCCATTAACAAAGGACATGTTAGAGGAGACTCATTTGTCCATTCTGAGCAGACAGCTCAGAATAGATCTTTCACCATCAGAAGCTTTGGTTTTTACTAACATATCTTTAAAGTATTGCAGCTACAATGCAGGCCTCGAGATGGAATTTACACTTAAAGACACTTAAAGAAAACACTATGAAAGCTCAGAAATTAAAGAACTGATCTGTAGCTATGCAGTGAAGTTAGATCTGACTGACCCATTTGGGTTTTACCAAACACTTCCTTTCAACTTGTGAATAAACTCAGTTCTATCAGAAATAACATTATCAGCTGGTAGGGTAATCAATGGACTGTCTCACATGAGAGAAAAACAGAAAATTGCAAGTAAGGTGAAGAGTCAATGCAGCAAGAAGCTTAAGTTTTAAGATCAAACTTCAATGCATTTCCACTTAAAAATAGGTTTCTGAAGTTAATCATGTTATCAAGTGTGATTCTTCACAAAATAACCTTTCCATATTTGGCAAAATCTACAGCCTCCATAGTCAGATGATTATTAACTTTACTTTCCTTCTAACATTGGCAGATTTGTGGGCTTGGGAGCAGCCACAAAAATCTTCAGTTCACAGGTTACACATGGGTTTTGAATCAGCCTTGCTTTTTCTTATTCAAAAACGTGAAAAAGATATCAGGTGAAGAAGAAAGAGGTGACAGAAAGATCTATTCCCCATGCAAAATGAGGTATCTGCTCCTGCTCTGAAGAAAAGTTTCGGGAATTTGTTATAAAAACTTATTTCAAAGCAACATCCAAATAGCCTGAGACTAAAATATTGCTACCAGCATGGTAAAGGACATGAACATAATTCATCAGTTGGCTGAAGGACACTGGTTTCTCTTTGAGGTTCTCCTAAAGGCAGTAAAGCTACAAGAATTTCCAGGGATCTGCCCCATGAAGAAAAGAACCAGAGATCCCAGTTAAGGTAATCCCTGTCTTCCTCCATTGTATTCCAAACATCAGGAGAGAGAGTTGGTGGGCAACCACGTGTGATCTCTATGTCCTTAGTTCTACTTTAAGATATCTGTAACTTCTAGATGCAAAACTCCTTGTAAGTACAGAGAGACGAGCAGATTAGCATAGAGATCCTGTACTGAAGATCGTACTGTCCCACAGGAACATTCTTTGAAGCATATACTCTTTAATAGTTGTATTAAAATATGCAGCCTCTGAATCAGTATTTCACCATCAGCCTTTAACAGTTGGAGATATAACTCTTTGTTCTACCTGCAGAATTTCACTTTCCAAGACAGGGCATTCTCAAAGTTAGATTCAGTCAAAGAATTCCTCTCTTAGTAATAGCAGCAATCAAACAGAACTTGGTTCCCCTAAACTCTCAGGAAATATCCTTTGTTTCTTAGCATAGTTGTATTGTCCTTTCTAAATTCTCATGAAATCATTCCACAAGCAGAGGAGGAATGGAGCAATGGTAAAACCCCTATGCACCACTTTTAGCACTCTCAGTTCTTTTAGAGAATTACTTGTATTCTCAAGGGGGGAAAGGAGAAAATACAAACCAGCAAAACCCTTTGTAGAGATTAAGACTAATTGTTTTGGACATAAGAAGAAAGAAAAAGCAAATGGGACAACTGCATTGTCAGGTAAACTTCAGACAAGTTCTTAGGCGGCATCTGTGTTTAATGACCTGCAAGGGTGGGGGGAGAGAACTTCTAAAGGCAAACATGAAAACTTCTGAAAGGCCATTTACAAGCTCTTAATAATTTAAAACACTTCTAAATTTTTGTGGAAATCATAATGAGCACATAAATACACAAGCTGAAAATTAAGATATACCTCTGGTAGCTTTCAAAAAGAAGACTTCTTGGGCTTGAGCCAACATAATAAGACTGAGGGTTCCAACTGTGTCTGGAGAGATGTCCACTGTAGGTTCTCGATTCAAGGCTGACAAAACCGTGTCTTTAATGTGTTGGAAAGCACCGCTTGCAAACTAAGTAAAACAAAATTATATATTACCAGTCATGTTTCCAAACAGCTATTTTCTCTTACAAATGTAATCCATACAACTATTTAAAAAAAAAACACAGATGTTTTTGTGTATACAGTCTCCCATTTATTGTTTAGCCACTAAAACCAATTGATGTTTTTGTGTATACAGTCTCCCATTTATCGTTTAGCCACTAAAACCACTTGTGACTTCTTGTTCTTGAAGCCACTTACACTGAGACATTTATCAAAATGGTATATTGGCTATACCTATTGGCATCAGAACATGGAAATTTGAATGCATTCCACAAACAAGAAAGAGATTATCACTGTATAACTTGTTAAAACTAAAATTTATACTACCTAAAATTATCAAATCTTGAGCTGAAGGTTACTAGTTACTGACATGCTTTGGGGAAGGGGTACGGGAAACTGTATGGAATTAAATCCTTCAAAGCTGGTAAATATGAGCCAGGACCAGGAATTTAGCCAATCCACCTTCACAAGTAAGAGGGGGAAAATACATGTATATATTTATGTATGTGTGCATTTAGCTTTAAAATTGAGAAATATTTATTTGATGCTCTAAGATCAATAATTCTGAATTCTTAAACATAAGGAGGGAGCCTCTATACCTGATAGTGCTTTGCTGCAGCTTTCAGTCCTTCATCATTATCTAGATTCTGTTCTGCTGCAATCTGGCTTGCCAACGCTCCACAGTTGAACAAAACACAGGTCTTCTCATAACCCAAACTTGCCAGAGCTGCAACCAAGACAGAGCGTTACCCATACTGTTAAGAAAACAGACTTCAGTACTATAGCATCCTACAGACAAGGTCAACACTACTAATATCTGTACTTAAAGGCTGCTCAACGGTTTCAAGAAGCCCACCCCCTCCAAAAAACAAACAAGCAAAAAAAAAAAAACCACCAACACACTGAAGTTTTAAAGTCAGTCATTTTCATTCTGAAGGCTTTATATAGTTTAATTTAATACCCCCACAAAATGTTTTGAAGTGAGGAACTATGCATAAAGCATAAAAGCAATAGTATTAAAATCTACACAATACACAAAATAATTTGAAAGTCTTCCTAACTACAGTGCAGCTTTTTGGTTCCTAAAGATACAGAAACACATGCGTTACCAAAGGATAATCTGAAATAGGAACTTCCATTGATTAATCAGTTTGCCATAACTGCTCGATTACATGGCCTTACTCTATCACAAATGCTGCCAAATTTCTCAGTTATACACGTACTGAAACAGCTAAGGATTTACTCATTTAGAACTTGTGCTCACTAGACAGCAGTGTGGCCTGTCCAGACTCAACTCCTGTAGTACTTCTCAGTCCCAGAGGATGGAGCCCACACTTCTAGAAACGTTAATACCTGAACAGGAACCATTTTGAATCTATTAATTGCTTTCAAAAGGTTATTGGCCATATGCAAGCATTGGAAAAATCTAAAGACTGCAGATACTTGTTTCCTATTACTGTTAAAAAAAGTACACTCCTCTTGGGGAATACAGAAAACTCAACTAGTGAGTTTTCAATTTCATAAACCCAGGTACAATTCCTAAGTTATCCTTAAAACATAAAGGTATTGAAGAGGCACATTTGTTTCATTTCACTAACATTCCGCTTCCTTACACAGCTACATATTTATCTAACACATTTCTGAAGTTTCTATGTTAGTGCTCCTTGACCTGCAGTAAGTTTTCAGACAAGCAGCACAAATTCAACATGCCATTTTTCCCATTTTGTTTCCCTGAGTAAGAATTGAGTTACAGTCACTGTATTTCATCAAGATAATAGCAATTTATCTGGATCATCTCTCTTCCATAGTTTATTTTCCAGAATTTTTCTAAAGAGATGATCATGTACAACTTACACATCATTGAAAAGACTAAAACAAACACAAAAAAAGGAATGTAAATACAGCTTTAAAGTTTCTGAAGCACAAAATTACTTTGTGTGCAGAATTACTTTATACTCTGGATCGCATCTCAAGTGTGATTTACTACAGTGAGAACAGCTGGTTAGCAATATAGATTTTCCTCAGACTCATCTGTTTATAGCTCTACCTATTAACTTCAGCCAACATATTTCAGATAACATGCAGTGCTGTGAACTGGGTCACTTTTCAAGCAGCCACAGTGATATAGACTTTGGATTCAGGGGAAGATGGGAGGAAAACATCACCACAGCAAGAGCCAGAACTCTCAAGTCACACCCCTTGCACCTTGGCCCCATGGAAGTCAAAGGAGTTTTACATTGAATTTCCATCTGGAGAGAGGATCACCTCCTCTTAGAAGTCAACAGAAATACTGCTTCTTCAGTAACAGAAAACTTTGCTTTACACTGAGAAATCCCACTGCTAGTTCTGGTCTGAAATAAACACACACAGGCTATAGCAAAACTGTGATACAGCACTGTTAAGATACATACATACTTAAAGACTCCTTTTGTTAATTTCTTTCCACTAAGATCTGCTTTAGAGTTTCAAAATAAGATTTATTCCATTGCTTGTTAACTAAGCATTACTCACATCTCAGTTAAGAATTTCTTTGATATTTCACATGGACTATTGCATAAATCTCTAGCCATCTGCCTCACAGATTATTTAGACTAGTATATAATTAACCTGCAGACAAGTGAGCTTTCTCAAGATGCTGTAACATCACATTTATTCAAATTCCCAGGGCAATCATCATTATGATTACTGATCCTTTTTCTCACAATTATTATAAATCTCTGGCAATCCACAGATTATGTTTAAGTCATAATGAAATATTCTGGACTTTACTATGACACCTCTTCAGTCATCGTGAAATGCCAGCCCCAAAGAAGAAAGAACCAACCAAACTCTGAGAAAAAAACAACAGCATATTCAGGAAGGTCTCCAATTATCCAGAAGGACTTCTTGGAACAGTTAGAAAAAAGAGTAACAGAAGGTGTGCACCACCTGCTTACACATAGGAATATTGTTACACATATAGTTCACACAAGCACAACTGTAGCACATGTATTCAGTGCATGGAAAACTGCAAAGACTTTCAGTAGTTGCTTCCAGAGAACTCTATGAAAGACACAAAAACTTGAAAAAAACCTAAAAAGATAGTAAGTTCCGTAAGATTTTTTCAAGCTTTGTCTGGAGCTTCAAAGTTGCAATGGTCATCCTGCAATGCTAGCCATGACGAACACTTAGGTATAAATAGAAACACTGAAGAATGATGACACATGACTGAATTGCTCCTCGCTTAAATCAAAAGGATTTAATCTTAGTTTCTCTACTGGCAAGTGCTCCAAATCCATTTAATGATCTTGGATTTGCAGTGCAGAATTATCCCTATGGTACTAAAATGAATAATAGATTCAAACTCCTTATGTTTGCAGGAAACAAAAACAATTTTCTTTTTCTTTCCAAGTGTTCAAATCGGTAAGAAAATATTTTTTAAAAATGCAATAGGAGAATCATTTCAGGGCACAGGAAGATCCTTGTATTCTCTTGAATAAAATGTGATATCAGATTAGGCCACTGAAGCCATCTACCATCACTTCCCTTCTTCTGGAAGGGACTCGCTCACTCACAAGCACATCTCAAGAGCATCTTACTCATTTAGAACAGTAAGAGCTGGATTACCAAAAACCTACTACAGAAACGTTACCTTGAACAGTTTTGATTAATGTCAGTTGCGGTTGCTCCCAGAAAAAAAAGTCTGAGGAGCAAACAACACAACTATTATCATCAGACTGCACATCTATTTGTGCCTCTGGAAAACTAGTATTAAATCTCCATTTTATTAAAATTCTTTGCATGGTGCCCATGTATTCATCACCAACGTTGAAGTGATTAATCTATTACCAATACAGTTGAACTCATTAACAGCTGTGTTGAGAATACTAGAAAGACTATTAACAATTCAGCTATATAAAAATATTATCAGAATTTAATATCATTAATACTTGCATTTTTGGTACATTCACATACCCAGTTTGGCAGATCCTCCAAAAAGTGATCCTTTATCAAAAGCATCCTTCCATGTAAATGTTACACAGACCTGAAAGTTGTGAAAAAGAAAGATCTTTATTTCTAAAACTAAATATGAGACCTTCAGAAAATATCCCACATTTGCATGTTTATCCTTTTATATTTTAAATGCACAAAACAATGAAGTCACTTGTAACATTAAAAACATTCCGGAAGTTTCAGGATATCATAAGAGTTATTTTTTAAGAAAAAAAACCCAACTGTTCTACATTTATTCTTTCTTGTTGGTTTGCTCAAAACATTTCAAGCAGACAAGATAGAAATTCCCAAAACAATCTTTAAGCTCTGCTCACATTCTGATTGACAGAAATTTATTTCCAAAACAAGGTATTTCTCTCCAAAGAAATCTGACAGTCTAGTAGAGCCACAGAACCACCCAAACAGGCAGTTTCCACTGTTCCAAACTACTAGCACATTTGGAACTGGCTTGTAATACCAAAATCCACCCATTTTTATGAGTGAATTCCATAGCAGCATTATCAGGAAATGCACTCAGGAAAGAGAATGCAAGTAGTAAAACACACTGTTTCATTAGAATTTCAGCATATATTTCACAGACAACGCAAATACTTCACAGAATCTACATTGAAATTCCACAATCCTATTCTTTATTCAGCTGATCACACTAGCTGTAGGCAACTAGTGTTAAAACTAGGAGTCAGCAAAATTCCTCCTTTTAAAGTAGTTGGGAAGAATAACTTCAGAAAGAGCCCAGTACTGTTTGATAACATGTTCTCCTCTAGCAGCAATGTGAGTTCAGGAAGTTCTGGTCCCCAGCACTTCGTTGCTGTTTCCACTGACTGCTTCTTCCCTTTGATGGAACAGTTTACAAATCCACAGAATTTGCTCTTAAAAGTCTTCCAGTTTTCCGTGTCTCTGGATTTGCAGGTCACCATATCAAAACATTTGCACACTAAAAACTAAAGTGCAATTCCTGGCTACAAGTGAACACCGCTACATACAAAACTCAAATCAATTTGAGCTGCATTAAAACTATTCCCTTACTTGTAACCCATAAGTCTGAAAGAGACCTTTTAATCATAACATTACTATCCCAATGTGATTTGGTCAGCAAAGAAATATAAATTCTGTCCTATCTGTAAACACATCCAAAGAAAACCCACATCTTTTTCCACCAAAATACAGGAGCCTAAAGATCTATTCCAGTCTCCACCTAGGGAAGGCTTCAGTAGGCAGAAGTTAAGCTGAACTTCCTAAGAGACAGGATTCTAAAGAAATATGGCAGATAAACAAACCCAAAAACACCTTAATGAACACCATAGCTATGTAAAAATGATGCAATTTGTAGATGCAGAGGCAGGAATAAAGAGGCACACTCTTAAGTAGCTTATTCTGTTCGCTGTTGCAAATGAAACACCTGTTCTAGTTCAAAAACCAAAGATCATATTCCATCCATTACTACAGGTTTTCTCATAGAAATTACATTTTTAAAAAGCCTTTTTAACATAGTCTGAAACAAGACTTCTTGGAAAAAGGAGAGTTGAAGAGGAATAGCACAGGACAACTCTTTCTGACCTAGACAGCAGTGACCACTAGGTAAAGTTAAAAATGTTTCTGGATCTGTGAAACAAAGGGATTACAGTCAGCAGAGGTCAGGTTCCAGCTTAGACTGTATGTGAGCACTGACTAGAAAACAAACAGAGGTTAGCAAAATAAGAGATTAAAACTCAAAGAGATTAAATGCCTTCCCCGAAATAAATACTGTTTAACGGATTAGGTATAGGCTTGAAAGTCATACATCGTAGTTGCCATGATTCAGTTTAATGGTTTGATAATTCTTCTTACCTGATTTTCAGAGAATGGAAACTTTGGTTCAATCGCACACAGCTGATCATAGTATCTACACAAAAAGAAAAAAAAAGACAGAAGCAGCTATTAGATGAATCAAATTAAGAGCTTTGTTTCCTACACCGGCATGTAAGGTGAATCCCACAATCAAGTAAGTTGTGAAGCTCATTCCTAACTATGGAGGATTTGCCTGGACAGACATAAATGCTGCATAAAGGGATTTTTTCAGTAGAGGAACAAGTGCAATATGTGGTCGTCTTCCACAGATAACATGGAAACCCTATCTCAGCTAGAAGTCAAAGAGTATCACAGACAAAGCTGACCCATTCCATTTTCTGATGGAGGATGGATTAGAAAAGAAGGTCATGCAAAGAAGCCCCTGTACACATACAAGGAAGAGAAAGAGCGCATTAGACATTAAGTCATGTTGCAGAAGTAAATTAAATACAGCATTTAACATAACATTAACAGGCTACAGTGCACTCTCTTGATCTGAACATTATATCCCGCTCCCCTACAATTTGTGACTCATCTGTTTAAACTTCAATGTCTTTGAAACAGATGCTATTTGCCTTTGCCCAGTATCAACAGGAGAGCCTAATGCCTGATAAAATTATTTAGTTGTAAGCTCAGTTTTCATAAGAATATATTGTAGCAGTCTGAATTAAAACCGAAGTTTTCTCTGTGCCAATATTTTGTCTACTCACAGCAGAGGATGTTTAGGAAAGAATGCCAAAAAGATAACAGAGCAAGTATAGCACAGTCCCTCACACAACCTACCCAGGCAGGGATTTGAAGTTTCCCTGAGTTGTACCCTGCACTTGCCCCACTCGTTAAGCACAACAGGCTGGATGCAGAACAGAGGAACTTTAAGCTCCCAAGTATTCAGAACACATAACACCTGAAACCCATTTCCTATACTCTTCCTGTAGCACTTGCCGTATGGGCAATATTTAACAATTTCTATTCCCACTACACAAAACAACTTGCAGTGATCAGTTTCAAAGTCTGTGAAACAGGACTAACATTGTGTGTGTATGTGAGCAATATAGTTAAAAAACCCACCATACACAAAAAAAAAAACCTTAATGTGGATTTTAAAGCTAATGACAATTTTTCTCACTGTCTACACAAACCTATGGATCTGCATTCTACCTTCCCATACTTCAGCATTAAGGTTGCCAGCACAAGAACAGCCATTATCAACTCAGATTTCAAATACACCTCCACTGAGAGACTTGACTTGATAAATCAAAGATGTTTTCCAGAAAGAACTAAAATATTGGCAATAAGAGGATCTGATCATTTAGAACTATGTGACAGTACTTTTAAACTAGTAGTTTTAAACTAGTAGAATAATTAATATATTTTTCTGAAGCTAGCACATGAAAGGCATTGGCTTTAAAAGAATCTATATTTATTTTTTGTAGAAGATTTTTATTGCCTATTTTCTTCACCTGAAATGAAGCAATAGTTAAATAAAATTTAGTTAGAATTTTATAATTTTTTTCAGTAACCTTACATCCAAGCCTTGATCTATAGAAATTGTAGAGAACATCCCTTCTGTAGTTAAAGAAATGCAGCTTTGCATGTGGATGCTCTCTCATCAGTTTAAGTTTGGTCTGATTTATCACACAATCACACTTTTTTTTTCCCCCCACTTCCTAACCCAATTGGTTTAACTGATACAGATTAACACACACAGTACAAAAATTAATTCAATACTAGCACTGAAGATCACTTTACCCAATGTATTTAAATGTACTTCCTTCACTGCCTTCAGCTGATCTCAACACAGTCATTTTCTTGTAGTCTCACAAAGAAAATGAGACTTTCCAGGCTGTCTCCTCCTGCATCGATTTAATTTGTTAACCACAAGCCACCAGTAAACCCCAGTTGTCTTCCCATGTCCCACGATTACCCTGTCTTCATCTGCCATGAGGGCAGTCAAGAAGCAAAGCTTGTTACACGGCTTGTGAAGCCTGGTGTGTTTGCAAACAGCCTATTCTTTGTACATCAACAGAACCCCAAAGAAGAAGAAAATAAGCTAAGGAGGTGTATTTTCCTCCCAAATATGCACCATTGCTGCATTTAGCATCAATGAATACCAACAACACAGGACTTATTGTTTGGTTGGTTTTAAACAAGTTCAGAACTTACGTTAGTATTTTCTTTACTATTTTAAGCATGTAGTGTCATTGCTTTTTATTGAAGAACTTGAAATTCTACTCAAGATTTAAGAGCCCTTTAAATGTCTGCAGACCAAAAAAAAAAAAAAAAAAAAAAAAAAAAAAAAGCAAACAAAACCCAACACATAAAATAATTTAGTTTTGTTTAGTGGTAGCTATAAATACCATTGTATTTATATAAGTTTAAACTAAACACATATAAATAAAATGGTAAATGAAGACGTTAACGACAGAACAGCACAAAACTAGCACTAGAAAGACAAAATAAATATCAAAGGAATGGCCACATCTGATGCTCCTATTTTCAGTTACACACTGAAAGATGAGGGTAAATATAGTCATTATTTAAAACAAAATTTACAGTAATCTAGCTATCAAGACACAAAGAACAGAAGTTGCTGCCCAACACAGATGAGTATTGTGTGTTTGGCTGTGCCAGAGCCATGAACCACAGAAAACCACGCAAACATATCAACTGCCTTGAGTTCCAACCACAGTGATGAAAGGGAGAGCCAATGGCGGCTGTACTTTGAGAACTAGATCTGTGTTGCTATCTTCCACCAAAACAGGCTTTACACACTCCTAAACGCTAGTAAAAATGAGTTACAGCAGTCAAACGAGTTGGAAGTCATGGTTTATATTTTAATTAAATTAAAATATATGTATTGCATTAAGAACCTCAAATCCTGTTCCTCCTTCAAAGAATCACAAAGAAAAATCTCCTTCCAAAGAACATAAAAGGGACTGAGATCTCCCTTCGCTCTCCTAGATAAGAACAGGAGCCCTGAACTCACAGCTGGAAACCAGAACTGCAACTTCCATCCCCCACAGAATTTGACCAATGAAAATAAAACCACGCACCTCCTCGTCTCCCCCTCCCACCTTTTTATTTATTTATTTTTTTTTTTAAAAAAAGAACTGCAAGACTTGTTAGCAAAATTAAACCAATTAAACTTGCACCACCCCCTCATCCCTCCAGAAAACAGAAATAAAGCCCAGGCTATCCTTAATATTAAGAAAGGAAGTGAGGAAGCCCTTGAAGCTATAATTATACTCGGAAAAAGAGAAAGAAAAAATAAAAAAAGAAACCAAACCCAAACCACTAAATCAAATGTGCTGTGACAGAATTTAAGGGGAAACATCTGCACCAAGCTCACCTATGTCACCTTCAGAACACTCAGCTTCTCCGAAAACAAAGAAAGCTTGGAAGCAGGCTGAGGTCTTTCCCAGTTACACTGTGCCCCTTTTCACTTAGTCCCTCAAACACTTCTCCAGGAGCAGCATTTGTGTTTAGCAGTCAAACAAACACACTTTCAAAGCTTTACCAGACAGCATTTGCCTAGGAAATAGGGCTGCAACTGAGGTCATTATTTTTTTCCCTAAAAGAAAAAATTCTGCAGTAACTACTCAGCAAAACAAGGCTTCTAAAGATTACAAAACCCTGGGCAAATCCTAGATTAATTAGCAGAAGATTAAGCCCTCATTTCTTAACAGTTAAAATGGTCTACGGTGCTCTACTAGGTATTATGGTCTATAAAAAGCTGCAAAGAAGTAAATGTATGCAAAGGGTATCCACATTATAATTAGCTCTTCCCACTTCATTAAAAAATCAGTTTCGAACTCCAACTTGAACGAAAATCTTGCTAAAGCTGTTACTTGAACATGAGACTGAGTGCAACTCTTAAACAGCAACAGGAAAATACTGGAAGTTGGAGAGAGAAGAGAATTTGCAGAGGAAACGCAAGGAAACGCTTGTGCTCTTTCAATTATAAACTCAGCTGGATGCTTCAAACTTCTGGGTGTACAGACAGCCTGATACAGAATATCAACAGATTATACTGTAGAATATTCTTTACAGAGTAAGAACAAACTTATTTTCCAGCAACTGTAATGAATATAAATGGTCACAGCGACAAATCACTCCTAACTTGTTAAGAGATAGGGTAAAACACACACCTCATTGTTTTATTTTCTCTAATTTACAGTTAATTCAGACCTTCATCTTATCTCACCTCCACTGCAAAGGAAACACTCTCAAAGGATACAATTTAAAATACAGGTGTTTTGTAAGAGGAGCTCCTGTGTGGCACTACTTTTGTCGTCTTTTTGCCCCTGTTCTGGTGCTCATCCGACCTTCCACTAAACTCATTCAAGTTCTCACATGTCACAGGCTTTTAATTTCCAGAAATGGTGTAAGGGAAGGGCCAGAAATGAAGAGAGGGCTTCTTCCTTTCGGCAGCGTACAGCTGTTAGACGGGGTAAAGTCATTCAGCGTGGCTGGGCCAAACAGGGATTTCAGACAGAAACTAATCACAAACCTGAGTGGCACCATCAGAAAAAGCAGCTCAATTCCAGCATCCTGGGGGGCATCAGGAAGAGTGTGAGCAGCAGGTGGAGGGAGGTCATCCTGCCCCTCTGCTCTGCCCTGGGGAGGCCCCAGCTGGAGCACTGGGACCAGTTCTAGGCTCCCCAGTTCCAGAAGGACAGGGAACTGCTGGAGAGGGTACAAGATGATGAGGGGCCTGGAGCACATCTCTGAAAGGCTGAGGGACTTGGGTCTTTTTAGACTGGAGAAGACTGAGGGGAGATCTGATCAACACCTATAAATACTTCAAGGGTGGGTGTCAGGAGGATGGGGCTGGTCTTTTTTCAGTGGTGCCCAGGGACAGAACAAGAGGAAACGGGCACAAACCTGTAAATAAGAAGTTCCACCTAAACACGAGGAGGAACTTCTTTCCTGTGAGGGTGGCAGAGCCCTGGCAGAGGCTGCCCAGGGAGGTGGTGGAGTCTCCTTCTCTGGAGACATTCCAAACCCGCCTGGACACGTTTCTGTGCAACCTGCTCTGGGTGGACCTGCTTTGGCAGGGGGTTGGACTAGATGATCTCCAGAGGTCCCTTCCAATCCCATAGCATTCTGTGTGATTCTGTGTGTGGTTCAAGGGAAAGCAGTAATATCCCTTTCCATTTCCCTAGCAGAGTCCCTCTTTCAGCTTAGAGATGCTCATTATTTCCCTGACCTTCAAAAGGCACACGCAGCAGTACCTTCAAAAGCGTATGCAGTAACAAACAGGACTAGAACAGGAAGCCAGGAAGATAGTGCAAAACGTGACCAGTACAGTCATAGCTTTTATAGCCCAAACACCCAGCGAAGGGTTGATAAGCTCAAAAAATATCGGTAACTCATTTTACAAATCTTGCCTCCTTTTTAATAAGTCACTTGTTTATTTTCCATTCCTCTTCATTTTTTTAAGTTTATAAATAAGTAATTCTAGCGAGCATCAACATATTCCTATTTGTTCATGGTATAACAGAAACATGTCATGTCTACAAGTATCATTTCTTCCTATACTAGAAAATACCTCTATCTTTCTTTAAGAATAAAAAAAACAAACTTGCTGCCACTATTTGAGAACTTATATTAGGGTACTGCAGATCTTTGATCCCCATTTTGCAAACGGAAGTGTGTACTCAGTATTCACCTAGTAAATGAATCACAGTGACCTCAGTGAGTTGATGAGCTACAAACTGGACTCAAAATGTTTCCAATGTAGAGGAACTGAACAAGAGGATTACCACAGTCAACAGTTCTAGAGAAATAGGAAAGAGCGAATGCTTTTGCAGATGATGGAGCAGTCGGTCTTAAAGCAGGCTTTGTGCAGTTTACTGGGCAGAAGGCACAGGTTAATCTTTTGCTCATCTTATTTATAATTCCAGCACAACAGAGGCATCAGCAAACTCTCTGATAGCAAACTTAACCACTTAGGTTAACACACCTACAGGGCCCTTACCACAAAAAAGACATTGAGGGGCTGGAGCGGGTCCAGAGAAGGGCAAGGGAGCTGGTGAGGGGTCTGGAGCACAAGTCTTGTGAGGAGAGGCTGAGGGAGCTGGGGGTGTTGAGCCTGGAGAAAAGGAGGCTGAGGGGAGACCTTCTGGCTCTCTCCAACTCCCTGAAAGGAGGGTGTAGCCAGGGGGGGTCGGTCTCTTCTCCCAAGGAACAGGCCATGGGACAAGAGGAAATGGCCTCAAGTTGCACCAGGGGAGGTTCAGATTGGAGATCAGGAAAAATCTTTCA